TTTGGTTCAATTAGTCTGGATTTCTGACACTTCACTGTATATAAATGAAGTAGCCAAACCAAATATCTTTTTAACACACTATTTTCAAAAATTGTATTTGAGAGAGAAGAAAGGATACAAATTATGACAACCAAAAGAGTTAACATATTAGAAAACATGGAATAAACTAGTATATGAACTAATTTATGCTATTTCCAGGGCTGGATAAAGACTTTTAGAGGCCTTAAACACTTAAAAGATTTGTGCCCTCCATATACTGTATATGTAATCCAGAATACAAACAGTAATAAAAGAAAATTTTATTTTTTAAATTAAATACCAAAAAATAGTTTAATTTTTTCATCTACTGTAGGGTCCCTGGTTCTGCTAGATCATTTGCATGATCACTATATGGTCCATGGTAGAATTGTTAATAAAAAATTTTTGTGATGCTGCCTTTTCCCTTTTTTTGATGCTCTGAACCAGAGGTGTCAAACTGGCAGCCCTGATGTGACTTTTCGTGGCCTGTGACCATGATGCTTTGAAATTAAATAATCAAAGATCAAAATTAACTGATAAACATCTATCTGCAATAATGAAGATTGTTTTCAGTCTTTGAATCCTGATATTGGAAAACTAGGAGGAGGAAGATAGTGCTGGCAAGTTTCCAGTGAAAACAATTAATTTTAGTATTATAAATATGTACATTAAATAAAATAAACGTTTGAATAAAAGCAATACTATAGCAATTATTATATTCTTGAGTTGAATTCATTGAACTACATAATGTGTTTTAATTGCCCTATCTCCTGCATTCTCACTCCAAATTATAATTTTAAGAAAATTTGTAAATGTAATGTGGCCTGTGTGAATCTTACTCAGTCACATTAATGGCCTATTGTTTAAATGAGTTTGGCACACCTGCTCTAAACACATGCTTATTTTGCCTAATGTTAACCAGCTATGACTATATCAAACTGAAATAGGAAAATATCACGATAGAAATTTTATGCTAGAAAATTTAATATATAAATAATCAACAGTTTTGGCAAATTATTATTTTATAATACTTAGTATATTATTATAAATTATTATTTTATAATACTATAATACATATATTAATAAAATTAGTAAACTGCATTCAATTAATAAAATTTGACATTTAGCTTAATATTCTTTATTTAGTTAAATCAATATGGTACAAGAAAATCATTCATATTCACTCTAAAAATTAGTATTACATTAAATAGTTAGTAAACTGAAAGGTCACCTACTGTTAATGATGCATTGATTAATTCAATTAAATGGTACTTTTGACTTTTGGATAGCAGTTCTATAGTACATCACAGTAATTTGTAATAAAAAAATTTGTGCTGCATGCAAAATTTTATCCATAAACATAAAAGTTCAATTAGTAAAGATTGCTAGAAACTACAAAGTGATCAATGCTATTTCTAACTTCAGATATTATTTCATCAATTTTATCAACTTTTCATCAACTTTAAAAATAATCATTTAACAATCAACGCAAAATTAATCTCTATATTTATTATTATTTTTTTGAGTGATCATTATAATAAATAAATAATTAAAAAATAGTAATTGATAAAATTGTTGACTAATAGAACTTAATATCTCTGATATTAAAAATAACAATTTAGCATGCTTTCAGTATATGCTAAGTTAATACAACGTTTACATTCTCAAAAAGTTCAAAAAATTAATTTTTTTCATGAAAAATCTGCCAATTATTATGTATTTTCCAAATTAAATAGAAGCATTAGTTGTACAAAAGAATTTTTTTTAGTGTTTTCAAAAGATTACAGAAATTCTGTCCAATTATTTTCAGTAGATTTTGCTACTATATTACTACAAAGTGTGTTTAACATATGTATATTTTCAAATTAGTTTCAATTCCTAAAATTATACTATTCTCAACTGCTTTATGTGTTATTTTTTTGTTTAGTGTTGTTGTTTTGTAAAATAGAACTGAAGAAAGGACTGCCATACCCTATCTTACTAAAATTATGTAAATAATGTAAATCTAAATACAGTAATACCCCGAACTTATGCGATAGGTGGGACCGAGCGATAACCGCGTAAATCAAATTCGCGTAAGTCGGGGTATAATTTCGCAATTTGTGTAAAATCCAAGTTGGATGTATGTAAGCTAATAAATGTTCTCATTAATCTTATTTCGTCTTTTGATTCGTTCACGGTTACAAGAAATCACCACATAGAGTCTCTCGAGTCTCCGTAGATATAACAAATACAGAAATAAATAACAAAATAAATTGTAGCTATGTGTCGATTCCGCGCGATATGTCCGAACATGTAAGCCGAACAATAGTGTGGGGGGAGTGAGTAATCGAGAGTTGCGTGGCGTTCAAACAAAAGACGAATCGACAAGATTTGAAAATCGCGTAACTCCAGGTTCGCGTAAGTCGGGATAGCGTAAGTCAGGGTATTACTGTATATAAAATTGCTTGTCCTGACTGACTGACTAACTGACTCACTCACTCACTGATTCATCATCACCCAGAGCAGACCGCTTAACCTAAAGGGGTGAAATTTGGTAGACAGTTAGGGTACGTCATGGAAACGCACACTAAGAAGGGATTTTTAGAAATTCTCCCACGGGGATGAGGGAGAGCATTAAGGCTTAACCGGAAGAACGGCTTCTACTGTACTATTTTAGATGCGATTTTTTGTTTTTATGTGCATTTTAGTAGGGTAAGTCATGGCAATACACACTAAGTAGGAATTTTTAGAAATTCTCCAGCGGGGGGGTGAGGGAGAGCGTTAAGGCTTAACCGAAAGAACGGCTTCTACTGTACTATTTTAGATGCAATTTTTTGTTTTCAACTACATTCAGTCTTCATTGAGTACTTAGGTGTATTAAATTGATAACATTTCAGACATTGTTATAAATATTTTTATCTATTTCAATTTTAAAAATGTTTGAACCGTTTTAAATTCGAATTTGTTATTGCATATTGGTTTGATTATAGAATGATTGTAAATGCTCCAGAAAATTGATCAAATTGAAAATGGTTTGTTTGATTCTCGGCAATTCTCTTCAGCGGTAGGTGTTATATAGACCTAACAATTACTATGGTTATTGAAATATTGAATGTAAATGGGATTTGCTTGCAAAACCTCTGCGGACGAAGTCGTGGGTAACAGCTAGTTTGTACTGTACATATGACTAACTATACAAAGTATCTCAAGTATCAAAGTAAATTTTTTTAAATTAAATTATTTAATAATATTATTGTGTGTTAAATTCTTTGGTCACTAGATGACAATTTGCAACTTTTGTAATTTGATTAAACTATAATAAGAAAAATTGTATAAACATATAGATTGCAAAAATAATATATCTATTGTGTTCTAGAACTATTAAATGTAATTAATTTTTTTTATACAGGGTAAAGTATTTTTTGACTAAGTGCCAAATTTATTTTAAACAGATATATTTCCTTAAAGAATGTACTAACTTATTTAAATAAATATATATTGCAAGAATATTTCAGACTGTAAAGTAATTTCACAAAAATAATAACCAAATAAAAGAAAAAACATTTTATAGCAAACTATTTTATGGAATAGCAACTAATTATTATAATAATGACAAATTAATATTTCATCTCCTATATTAATAAAAATGTTGTATCAAATTTTTCATTAGGGCTACAAGATTTGTAGATTCAAACTAGAATAATCACATACCAAATGACATTTCTATTACAAGTAAGCATTAATTATAGTGAACAACAAATTTGAACTTTCTTAACTTTTCTTGATCTTTTGTACAGTACATAATTTCATTTTATCTTATTTCTCATGATTACACTAAGAAAATAATTTCTATCACATCAGGATAAGAAAATAAAAAACCAACTTGTGTATTATTAATAAAAAAGATACAAATGTATATTAAGATTTAAATAGTTTTTCTTGCCAATTTTTGTTTATGTTTAGCACTTTTGGATTTATGAAATCAATGTCCAACAATATTCAGCCAACATTTTGCATTCCTTTTAGAACTTATTTATGTACAAATATATTATTATTGAGAATTTCCCAAGAATGTGATGTGATAGCCAAATTTGGAAATTATTTTAACAATAAGCTTAAAATATATATATATATACATACATACACACATACACAGTACACCTAATAAAAGTATAAGTAAAACTCATATTGTCCAGTGTTACATATAAATGCTCTGTAAGACAGTAAATTTCATTTTAAGTTATTTTAATGTTTTAATTTATTATCACACTTCAATATCACTACAGATAATAAAATACTTGTAGAATAAAGGATGAATAAATGTTGATATTTGATACAAACAGGCAGCACAACAAATGCTAAAAGACAGAACAGTTTTGTAATCATAATTATAATATAAACAAAAGCCTAATAAACATAAAATTTTAAAAATTATTACAGAAGTTAAATTTTATTAAATCTACTACTGTAATAGAAATATTTGTCTTAATATATATGATAATTGAGAAAACACAATTCAATTTATTGTAAAATTATATTTTTGTAAACAAAGAATTCTTAAGACATGGCATATATAATGTTTCTTTATTCAAATCACTTTAATAAGGATGTTTACAATAAGAACATTAATTATACAATAAATAAAAACACCCATCCTTTTTTAAGATAATTTTTAAACCTATCTATATTTTATTTAAATATTAATCTTTTTACACCTTTATTTATTTGTCTATTTAAAAATGTAATGAATTAATTTCCATAAATTCATCTGGCATGGTAATTTTCAGTAGTTTTGATAGATATTTACAGATTCAACCATGTGCAGGATTACACACATGATTTTAATTCCTAGAAAACTAAAGCTAACATAATGTAAATCATGTACTGTGCTTAGAAATACTTTAACAGGCAAGACATGTCTTTTGTAAGGAACTGTAATTAAGTTACATGAGAATTATAGAAAGTGAGACCAAGTTAAAGATTAATAAATAAAAGCTTACCCAATCGATCGACCATTTTTGACAAGCGTGAGACCACTCCTTCGACTGTACTCAACAAAAACTTACTACGCAAATAATTTTATTCTGCTTACTTAATTAAGCAAATGTCATTTACTTCTGACAGCCATGATAATTATAACAAGATGTAATTACTATAATTCTTGATTATTTCTCTTCTCGTGCTTACACCTCTACTTTGGTCAATGAAATATTATCGATAGATGGCGCCTTTCGTGTATTACATATGTGCACTTTTTTTAAATTCGTTATTTGATTTTTTTTTATATTAGTTATAAAATAATTAATAGAACAATTTTGGTATATAATATTAAATAAAATAATCTATATTTTAACGAAAATAATTATATAAATAGTTTTCGTTGGAATTTCTTCCTATGTGAACAGTAAGTGGAGGCCTCCAAGGAGGTAAAAGGGAGGAGTCTGATTGATCACTTTGTGAGCATAATTCCCCACCGCCGCGCTACACGTCTGTGGGGAATTATGCTCACATCGTGCTTACCCGTCTACAGAATTTGGTTATCACATTGACTAGGAAGTTTGATTACAATGGAATTGACTACAGGATAACAACGCGTCCATCGATAAAGTAGCATCTCTAAATCTCTAATATAGAAATTCATGGTGATAACCATAATATTCTCATCCAAAACTTGTAGTAATTTTCAAATATTCATTTAATAAAACGTAGATAACTATGATCAAGATTCATTTCTAGTTCATTCGAAATAACAAATGCAAATTGCTATGGTAATCTCACTGGCATTCAGAATACGATTTATCAATTATGGCATATTAATAAATGCTGATAAAATGTATTCAAACTTAATTTTATAATCGTAATCAAGTTTCATTAAATATTACAGACAAAATCTAAGATCTAATCATCAGATGAATTAACTTCGAAACTTTGATAAATGTATTTTTACACAAATATTTGTGGTCTTGAATGCTTTCAGTAGGCTAATATTGTACTGGTGTTTTGCTATCCAACGATAACAAGGGGCTTATGTTGCATATTCTTTTTTTCTAACTCTTTCCGCCCTGTGGGCACTAAGAGGGCCTCTGTTTGCAAGCCCATTATGGGTTCGGCTATGGGGCTGCCGGGTAGTGAGGGACGGGGCCCGACATATCCGAACGGACCACCACCCGAAAAATTCCTGGGGATTTTTCGACCCGTTCGGATTCGAGCCCGGGTCCCCCAGACCGGTAGGCTTGCCCGCTCAGCCATCCGGCCGCAATATGTTGCATATTCGAACATCAAATAACATGTAAATGAATAAGACTAGCATTCAATTTATTTACGTGCTATAACTTCAAATGTTTTCAGGACTTTTCAATTTCCAACTATCCTATCTTATTCATTGGGTTATATACCATTATTATTCTACACTGAATGATCTCTACATGTAGGGAAACTTGCCTAATTCAATAAGACCCATAGAAATATCACATGGATAATTTATTATGGATCACCAATAAACCAATGCACAAAATCTTGATTTTTAGCCAAATCTCCATAACTCGAAACTCCAGAAGTCCGAATTTTCTTCCTCTACCGATTCCAGTTAACCAGGTGCTGTACCACTGTATCTCTACTATATCTAACCTACTTCAATTTTAATATATTCCCACTGTAACATATTATTTACTTCAGTTAGCAAAGTTTAGAAAACATTATTTCTAAGTTTTTTTTTCCAATTCTTATTCTTAACGGAATGATTGAGCGACTTTGAATCAAATCTGGATCCTTGTGATTTATAATAAGTGATTCGAGTAGGAGTGTTATTTCTCATCTCTCTCTCTCTCTCTTTTTAACATGGTCCGAGTGGTTCTGCCATCCAGCCAGAAAATTATATCTGGCTGGATGGCTTATAGGTAAAGGCCTTAACCTGCTGCTTTAGGGAAACCTAGATGAAATCCGGGAGGAAAATCCGAGGAATTTCTTATGGACGATCAATTCCAGATATATCGAGCCACGTCCCTCACCATCCGTTCGCCCCTTTGCGGGCGTAGATGAGCCATAGCGGCGAAAGTCAAAAAATAAAAAAATTAACTATTTTTATTTTCGTAATACATATATTAGAGTTGATTGCATTACAGAATTGACAGAAATAACAGATTAAAACAATTTAAAAATAAATATATATAATTACATAAAATATATATTAAATACGTCAGGTGGCACTTTACAGTCAGGTGCTTCTGTGTTTATCGGCTCTTTTATAATAAAATTTTCGTAATCTATTGCATTTCACAAAATACAACAAAATATGGCTCTGTTTAGAATATGTGGACCGAAATTATCTGTTTGTTGTTCAGTTTTAAGCATCTGGGGGATTATAATGTTGGTAAGTCATTTCAAATTTCAATAAGAAAGTTAAAGAACTTAACCTAAAAATCATTTGAAATGATTAAGAACATAATATGATGATTTACAAATGAAATACAATCTTAAGTAATTTAGTTGGTAATATCACTTTTGATTGAATTACAAATTATACAGAAATTAATAGATGATTGAGCTTCATCTTTAGCTGATGTTAGTTTAGAAACCATCCTTCATTAAATGATAGACTAATTAAATATGCGACATTTTTAAAATTTCTGGTACATTTTATACTTAATATATTGACGACAAGATCTTTTTTATAGCTGGAAGGCTTTTGCTTCAGTCTATTAGCAGACACAGAGAAATTTTTGTTTCTGTTTTTCAGAAATGAAAAATGAAGGTGTGACTATGCAGATGCGAATTTAGTAGCGAGTGAGAGGTTGTGAGCGATATAGTTCTTGCAAAGGAAAAGTGTGCACGAGCGAGAAGCAAGAAATCTCACTGGTGAGAGCGAATTTCTGGTTCTCGCACATATCTGACTGGGTTTGATATTTATCGTGTCTCGCCTCTTCTTGCCAAATATTCCTGCTCGCTCGCGTCTGCATAGTTGACCCTTACTTTGAGTATTTTTATATCCTCACGTATTTCAGTTTTGTTAACTTAATAGAAACGATATGTCAAATTGTTTATCTCCTTAGTCACAGTAACTAATAGGTTGTTGGTAATGCTGTCTGCTAATGGATAAATGAAATGTTCTCTGAAAAACCATACAGGAAGGGATGTAAAATATTCATGAATAGCCAATATTTAGTTAACTAGGTTTACAATATATGAAAATATATTTTTAGTGTAGTGAAAGGTTCCATCCTCATTGGTTGATAGATTCAATAAGTAAACAAACTAAACAACACATTAAACATTTTTATTAAAAATCCTTAAAATTGAACAATACTTTTAAAAAGTAATGTACTTTTAAAATTTAATTAATGTTTTAATAAATGAAATATTTAGATTATAATATTTTAACTCTGAAATGGTTTCTATCATGAAAACTTTAACTGCTTCTTCACCAACTAGATTTAGGGAATGCATAGCACATGGCACATAATCAGTGCATTTATTTGCTTGTTTGAGATGTGCTTGCACAACATTGTATTGGCCAGACATATTTGCAGCATTGTCAAAAGACTGTCCTTTACAATTATCCAGTTGCTGTCCATTTTTTTTAGAAATTCTTATAAGGAATTTAAAGAAGATAAGCCACTGTGACTACTAATTTTGATGAAAGATATGCATTTTTCATACACTTTTCCCTCAAAACAATATTATACTATTAGCTAGTTGGTCTTTGTGGGACAAATCTAGTGTCGAGTCATCACTATTTATTTCAGCTATAATTCTTATTACTTGTTTTCCCATAATCTCTATTATTCATTATTTTATAAACTGTTTTTGATTAGTACAAAGTGAAAAACTTTGGTTGCAGTTCTCATTGTTTGATATGTTTTCATATGAATGGATCAAACTCTGCTAGTAATTCCGGAATTCCCATGAAATTACCATTGTGCAGAGAGCCAAATATTTCCTCATGACCTTTAAATACACTTAAATATTTCATCACTGCAATAACACATTTTAGGACATTGTGGGTAATATTCTGTATCTTTTCTTAGTTGCTCCAGCAACTGCCTGTCAACAACAGATTTATTTTCTTTATATATTAACCATACTAACAATGATTTCTTATGTTCATTAGAATTTTCATTACTTTCTAAACAAGATTCTATATGTTTCAAGTCAGAGAATCCAGTTGTGTATTGAGAAGGGATTTTAGAGAAACGTTTGCAGACTAGATAAAAAACACTTTTCATACTGGTAGAATAGCACAACCGAGATCTTTCCAATAATAGACCATTTTTAATTTTTTTCGTAAAGTACTTATTGACAAGACTATGTCTTATTTATAAAATTGTACTGCCACCCGTTCTTACCAGCATAGAGGTATGAAGGAGTACATTTCAATGGGCTGACACGCAACAGGGAGAAATTTTGAAATTAGATAAGTTAATAAGTTAATTTCATCAAAGATGCATCGTGGATGATCTCGTCGTGGCCAGCAAAGTTTGAATGATCGCCCCCAAAAGCAGAAATATCAAAGAAGATAGGAGAATGAAAACGAGACCTGCCTTGAGCATCAAAGTGATTCCATCTCTGAGATATAGTCTTGTCCCAAATACGGTTTTGCCGTTTTACTTGTTTGAAAATGATCTGTTTTGTTTTTTATAATTTCTTATTGAAACTGGATATACGTTTTTTTGGATCTTTATTTTGGAAATGAGTCATTTCATGTGAGAGATAATGATTAATAAAATTATCATTTAACTGTGTAGGCCATAAACTTACATCAACATATTTAGGAAGCAACTCTGCATTTTTGGAAGCCTCTTCTACCTCTTTATCACTCTCTTCTTGCAAAACAGCACAGACTTCAGAGAGCTGGTCATTATCTAGGTCTTGTATATTTGTTTCTCAACATCAACATTGATTTTAGAAGTTTTTGGTTGTGGTTTTAGTTTTAGTAATTCTTCATTACTGTTATATACATTTTGTTTTTACTGTTTCTCTTCAGTTAAGTTATTCTCTCTTTCACTTATTATTGCACCTATATCATTTAGATTCTCATTTTTATTTTCCAATACAAAAAAATTTGAAATTTTGGCATATTTACTTCTTTCTTTTCCTCTATTTAATTGTACTTTTTGTTTTTCAGCTCTGTTTTTATATTTTCTACCAGACAGTTTTTTAATCTGAAAAGAAATTTTAAAAAAAACCTTAAAAAACAATCTGTCATCATATTAGATTAGTTGTTACTGTCAAGTAGGCAAGCTTATAGCTTATGCTGCTTACTAATGACTATTGCTTACTTTAAATAAATGGTGTCCAGTTAATTTTATTACGGCTTGTTTTGAAGAAATGCATGTGCCAACAAAATATTTTTGGAGTGTGATTTAACTTATATTTATTTAGTATTTAAGAAACTTACTGATACTTACCAATGAAGAAATATAGCACCTGAACAGTACACTTCACCAAACAAATGACTATTTAATATTTAACTATACTGTACTATACATAACCTCAAATGTCAAATGGTGAGAACTGTACTAAGATAACATGCTTTAGAGGAGCTAGACTTGCACTCCCATTCCAATGTTTCCACATTATTTGCATAATTGACAAATGACAAAGTATATTTTGATTTACTGACTACCAACATAAGTGATAGAAGACAGTCATATTTATTATTTATTGTCAATTAAAACATTGATATTTGATATTTTATTAAAATCCAACAGAGTTGCAAACCAATTATTTAAACTTTATCTAGGTACAAAAAACATTTTGTATAATTTACTTTTTACTTAAATTTTTACTTTAAATTGTTTTTATTTTTATTTTTTTTGTCTGTGAAGGGGGCTCTTTGATTGAAATGGAGCCAATAAATCCAACCCTGGTTCCTTCTAGATTTTTATTTGTGTTGACATGACCTAAAACTTACAAATCTAATAAAATACAAATATATCTTGCAGTGATAAAATATTTGAAAGAAACTTTTAATGTACTTTATTAAAAAGAAGAAAATGTCAAAAGGTATATAATATTAAATATAATATGTCTAACAATTTCAGGTGCTTATGGGAATATTTCTGTATTGTAAAAGTGTAGCTTTTGTTGAAGATTTGGCTATTGATGAAAGAAACCATACTACACGTAATGAGTTACTACTAAATGCTGATAACCTTTATAAACAAGCTGCATATAATTGTTGGGTAGCTGCCTGTCTATATATAAGTAAGTTTATTGTTGTATTATAAAAGTTTTAAGAATAGTTATATTTATTAATTATTTTAAGAGTGTTTTGAAAAATAAAAAAGTTTGATTTTTTTTAATTTTAAATTTAAAAATATAAAATGATTACAGTAAAATATGAGTGTAATGAGACTGTGAAATCATGAAAATACACTTGTTAAAATTAAATTTTGTTATAATAAAGTGTAGTCAAAATGACAATGTTAAAAAGTTATAATGAAAATAAATAAAAGTAATAGGTTCAAAACTTTAATAAAATAGAAATTTCACTTACTTAATCTTTCCTAACTATCTAAACAGGATTCCAAACACTCTTAAATCTTGAGAACAAGAAATCTTTAAAATCAGTTTTTCTAATATCTGTAGTTAAAGCAAATATCGTACTTTTAAAATTGTTTAAGAAATGGCAATGAATTGATAAATTGTAACTTTTTCATTTTTCAACACTGCTGTATAGACACTAGAGGGCCTTTTAATCATGCCCATAATGGTTTGGCTACTTTTGCGCCAAAGTGGCTAACTGAATTTCTTCAGCCAGCCAAAGAAGATTATACCCTGACATTTCTGGGTTATCTCACCCTTGAAGAATTCTGAGTTAATCCAGACATGAGCCTACTGCTCTGGGGCCATGGCTCATGTCTGGATTAACTCACTTTTATCACCTTGATCATATAGTAGTCTATTTTGTAACTGAAAGTTTATTTTAGATACAGTATCTAGAATACATAGTGTATCAACAGGTTTCAGAAAAACTGCCAACAAATGGCACTATTAACTTTATTGTTGATGGTAACTTTTTGCTTGTAAACAGTGCTTTAGTAGTAAAATTATTTTTTCTTTTATAATTTGTAACAAAAAATTTGCATATTTGTAGTGCATGAAATATATTAGTTTATACCTTAGTTATATCACCAAACTCTGACATTACAAAATTGGTGTAAATATCACTTTAATCATTCATTTTTAAGTGTTATACAGTATAAACATTAAAGTCACCAGAAAAAGAAAAAAGAAATGAGAATGTTTATACAATTTAGATTTAAAGAGTTTTTGCTTAAAAAGCTAGTTGTCGGGATAAAAATCATTTGGCACACGGTTTTCCCACGCTTTTCCAATCGTTCGACTAACGACGGTTGTCGCCATAGAAACGGCAATCAGACCACTTTTGAAGACTCGACCGCTCATTGGTTGAGCAACATCACGCCATCAGCAGACGTCCTGTAGAGCTGCTAAGTTCTGATTGGTGGAATCCAATTCTGCTTCAATCCTATAAAAGGATTGAGTTGTGGCGGAAAGTTCAGTTCACCGTGGACTCAGAAAGTGGACTCACGTTTGGTCTTAGTTTGCCTAAGCTGGTCCCGAAGCTTGTCTCATCTCATTGGACTGTAAATGACTTTAGAGTTAGTTCGTTGCAAGGTGTCTTTTGACGGACCTGTTGTAGTGGATAAATGTGTTGAACTTTGTTAACATCTGAAGTTTTGTAAATGTTTGTTTTGTGAACTTTGTAACTGTACATACGTTTATTTTCAATATATATATATATCGTTTTGAATTTAAACTGACGTATGTGTGTGGTTTTGAACTTTAGTTTTGATTGAATAGATATAATTAATATTTTTAGTACTTAAGTCAGTTTAGTGATATAGTTTCAAATATTCCATTGTTTTTCCATTTCTTGTAACATATAATTATATCTAAATTGTTAGTGGAAATAAAACAAAACAGGAAAAACTGAAATACTTGAGATGATAATTTCTAAAGTGTATATGAGTTAAGTGATGTGTTTTCAATGGCGACTACCAAGATATAAAAGTATATGAGCAGATTATACATTTTTGTATTTAGTAATTTTTTGTGGGGTATATGCTAATTCAGGTTATAAGCAAGAAATTGCAGTAATTTTATAGATAGAAATTCAATTTATTATATGAAATGATTCAATAGGATGAATGAAGCTTGAAATCTTCTTTAGTATTATGCAATATGATAATACTGTACTAAAATAGATACACCCACTTCTGTTTTATATAGTAGATATGTTCTTCAAAACTCCATATACAAAAACTGTCTGTATGGAAAATTGAAAATTTGGTTCAAAATCAGTAAAATAAAACAAACCAATTACTGTATACTAATATAATAGAATGTGTGTAAACAAAATACTTCAAGTATTAGTTAATGAATTGAAGAAGAGACAATTATAACTTACTTATTAGCAACATTTAATAAATTTATATTTGCACCAATTTTAATATAATTTTTTTATTCAACTATTTCAGTTAACATGCTATATAATACCTCTAGCATTTAACTATTAAAACTATTTTGCATTGAAAGAAATGCAATCATAAAAACAAATCATCAAACCTCAAATTAAAGTTTTTATGACTGCTTCAATTGTGGAATAGTCAGATTGAAGGATTGGTTGTCAATATACATATTCAAATAAGCTGTAAAAAACAGCCAAATCTTAAAATTTATCTGAGCATGTATTGCAGCCTTAAATTCAAATTCTAAGAATACAATAGAGTCTCAAAAACTCGGCCTAATGTGGACCGAAGAGTGGCCAAGTTTGTGAAAATGCCGGGTTATTGGGAATGGGGTTAAAAAAAATAATTATGAGTGTTTCCTCAGAAAATACTGTACTGTATTTGTATGTATTGTTTACTTGAGAATACAACAGAGAATAAACTGCCCAAATACCCTTAAACAAAGGAAAAGTACGACCTTTATGAAGGCATAGAGCCTTTACTACATGAAAATGAAAATTAATGAATACACTGTGTACAGTAATTTAACTGATAAGACAGACCCCAGAAAAATACTTTGAGGCATAAATCTGTCTATAATGAAAATTAATTAACTAAGGATTTTTTTGCCCTGCCAGGGTGTGGCCAAGTTATCCGGACTGCCGGGTTATCGAGTGCCGAGTTTTCGAGACTCTACTGTAGTTTACTGTATTTTAAAGAGCAATTTTCTAGTAAAGGACATATGAACATTTTTTCTTAGAATTAAATTCAAATGTAGATTTTTAAAAAGGCAAATTTATTGAAATGTTTTTGTAAAAGGGATTTGCCACATTTTAATTGTAAAACAAACATTTTAAGGAATTATAAAAATGTTCACAATTGATGAAAACTATTTTTCTGTGTAAGTTCCACAGACAATAAAATACACACCTGAAAAAAAAAACTAAAAAATTTTTGTAAAAGGGCTTCATTGCATTTTAATTTTAAAACAAATATTTTAAGGAACTATAAAAATGTTCATAAACAGTGCACTCAACAGAGAGATACAACAATCTTACTTCACAACTTAATGCTTGCTGAGAAAAATTGTTTATTAAACAAATCTTTTCAACCTATTATCATAAGCCATCACAACATGTGATTGTAATTAAAATGCTCCTATTCAACATTGAATAGGGGCATTTTAGCGGATTAATTACAATCAAATTGGTATGGTAACATTCAGGACATGCAGAAGACACTTCTGTAAAAAAAAATAAATAAGAAATATTTTAAAAAATTGTACCAAAATTCTCTACTGTGTTGCTTTTGGCACTTTGAATCTTATTAATTCATGTGATTTTTTGGTTGTAGGGACATTTAAATAGTATGATTTATTAAGGATATGTTGCAAATTTGCTGTATCAAAAGACAATATCACTCTGCATGTAAGAAGCATCACAAATGATTAGTCAGTCAATCATTGAACACACTATCATACTGTCTTTAGGTTTTACAACTTAATGGGAATCACATTGAGCAAGGGGTTTGTTCAGTATACATTACTAGGGTCTCTGTATACCATGTGTCTTGTGAAAATAAGATCTTTCTTGTTTGCAGCACGAAAAGTTTAATATTATTAGTGGGTACTAATTTTTATTTTATGAAAATGTCTTCTGCATGTCCTAAAATTTTACCATACCAGATTTAGTTGACTAAATATCTCTCCAGATAGTATTTAATAGGAGTACTGTACTTTAATTATGATAACTTGTTGGGCTGCAATTTGAAAAAATTGTAGACCTATAAATTCTTACTGGCATCCATTCATCTCTGTCTTTCCTTAATCTCGAGAACAGAGATAAATGAAAGCTGAGATCAGATGTGAAAATCTTAGAGGCAGGAGGCCCCAATTAACTTTCAAATTATATATGAACTTACAGTTTGCACCAGAAGTCATGTTATTTCAATTCAAAACTTTCCCCCTGAAAGCAGTTAGTATGATGATTGTCACAACTCTATTGTTAAAGTAAAAGTATGATGTACAAGGGGTAAGTCACTGCCAATTTGAGGTGGTGAGCAAATATTTTAAACTAGCTGTTACCCACAGCTTCGCTTGCACAGATTTTGCAAGCAAACCCTATTTACATTCAATATTTCAACAACCATAATAATTATTATTTAACACCTACTGCTGAGAATGATGAGAATTGCTGAGAATCAGACAAACTGTTTTTAATTTGATAAATTTTCTGAAACGTTTACAATCGTTTTATAATTGAACCAATGTGCAAAAAGAAATTTAAAAATATGCAAAAAGAAATTTTTCGAATTTAAAACCGTTCGAACATTTGGTTAAAAAATTGAAATATAAAAAATATTTATAATAATGTCTGAAATGTTATCAATTTATACCCCTAAGTACTCAATGAAGACTAAACGTAATTAAAAACAAAAAAGTCGCATCTAAAATAGTACAGTAGAAGCCTTTCTTCCGGTTAAGCCTTAATGCTCTCTCCCTGCGGGGAAATTTCGAAAAATCCCTTCTTAGTGTGCATTTTCATGACGTACCCTAACTGTATACCAAATTTCACCTCTAGGTTCTGGAACTTTCTAGAAAAAACTGGAACATTCTCATTGAAACATCACACATTTTTCAAGTCAACCACTTTCAAACCCCATATCTCTCACACCCTTATAGCTATCGAGACACAACCACCATAGTGCATGATGGGAGACTTGGGGCTACTACCACACACAAACACCATTCATGTGCGATGTGTAGTTTTGGCTGCAGAGTGACGTATAGGTACAAACATGTCCATTTTTATATATATATATAGATATAGATATAGATTAAATAAATTTAAAATATGATTAAAAATTGCAGCTCTGCATTGTGACATTGTTACAATAAATAACTGCTCATTTGTGTATGTGTTTGTGTGTATTGTATATCATATTTATGTAGTTTTTAAATTAATCTCTTGATTTCTACAAATAAACATTTATAAAACAAATTGATAAAATTAAGTTTAAATTTGATTTTGCATCAATAATAACATTATATTTTTATTTTTTGCAGTTTCTTTGGCTGTATCTGTACATCAATACTTCATGAATCGTCAAGCAAGTTATTCCATTTAAAAATCATCTGGTCAATTCAATTTAATTTATCATTCCAAGAATTTTATGAATATAATTTAGTCTATATTGTTAATTGTTCATTTATATTCAAATTCTGTGAATAAATGATACCAAATAAGAGATTAAACTGTTTAAAAGAGCCATAAACAGAAAAATCAAAAGATTTTTCAAAAATACAAGTTATATTTATTATTAATTAAAGATATGTTGTTTAGTTACTCATGTTATATGTTTTCATTGAATTTGTTATCATGACATAAATATAAACTGTATATTTCTAAATATTAGCTTTAGAATATAAATTTTAAGCATTCCTAACCTCTATAATAATTATATTATTATAATAAATTAGTATGAGATTTTTGTATGGAATTCATTGATTTAAATATCCAGATAATTTTGAAATAATGTAGGAAATTCATTTCCTATTTTAAACTCCTAGGAAAGAAAAACAATTACTAAATCATTCATAAGCAGACATTAATAGATGGATATTAAATTGTGTGTAATATATGTATAAATATTAGTGTGAAACATTTATATTGGGTTTCAGAAAGATGTTATATGAATAATAAACAGAGTTGAAATTTGTTTTATGTCTTTTTAATTTTTAAGTATTTAACATCTTAATTTATAATATTCAGTAATATTTAAATATTTTTGGATACTGAACTAGTTCTACTAGAATATGGTATACATTTTAAATAATCTTTAATATAATGAATTATATTAAATTACATTATATTAAAGATTATTTAAAATGTATACCATATTCTAAATACAGTATTAAGAATACTGATTAATTAATTTCAAGACTATTATATGGCCAAATTAAAGATTCTTTCAGATTGGTTAGTTTAGATGTGAAGTCGATGTACCCTTCAATACATTTGGATTTTATTATAGAAAATTTAAATTAAGCAGATTTAATTTACCAGATTACATTGTGGACTTTATAAGTTTTACCTTTAAAAATAACTATTTTGCAGTTACAACAGAGTACTTTCATCAGAAGGAGGGAATAGCAATGGGATTAGTAGTGGGCCCGTAGTTGGCTGAAATATGTATGATCTCAATCGATGAAAAAATCTTCCAATTCAAAGGTATTATCTTCTATGCAAGATATGTAGATGACATATTAATTTTATATGATTCTGATATTACTATAGCACAGAACATTTAAAGTTATGTGAATACTTTGAACAAAAATATCAAATTTACAAAGAAGAGATACATAATGAAATTAAATACTTGGATGTCATAATAATGAGACAGAAAGAAAAAGTATTGTTTCGTAAGTATGAAAAGATATATAATATCAATAAGGTAAGTAACTACAGATCAACTGTTCTGAAAAAATTAAACAAAATGTATTTCTTATGGAATTGCAGAAAATATATAATAGAACATCTTTGTAAAAATATATAGATATTGAGGTTAAAGAAGTTTTTACGAAATATTTGTTAAATGACTATCCACGGCAACTTATATATAAATGGCATGATCTTTATATTAATAATAGATTTAATGTTAAAAATAGAAAAATTGATAATGTATTTATTAAAATTCCTTATATTAAAAAACTGTATGAAAAAATATAAATATTTCTTAGGTAACCACCCAGTGAATCTGATAGGAAAACAAAATAATAGATTTAGTAAAAGCATTTATTCAATAAACAAAGGAAGGTCTACAATTCAGAAGAATCCTTTGGATATGGCCGGAGTCGTTTATAAACTTCAATGTACTGTACATGCACAGATAAGGTTTACATCGGAGAGACAGGAAGAAAATTCGGAATAAGATTGAAAGGGCACGAAGCGGCAATACGATTAAAAATAATAGAATCTCCCTGGTATCAACATTGTAGTAATAACACTTGTACTGTACTCTTAATCGTAATAACATAAAAATATTGTATAAAATAGAAAATTCATTTGTAAGAAGCATTGTGGAACACTATTGTATTAAAAGTTATGCAAATACTATTAATTTGAATACGTGAGTCAACATAGATGCATACTGGGATGGGCTAATCAAATATAAGAGCACAGATAATGTTAAACGAAATAACCACTGAAGAGGCTGTTAAGTGAAATGCATTTGGTGAAAATGTTTAATAAAGTAAGAAAGTGATTGACTTCAATTCTTTCAACTTGAATGTTTTTTAGTTTCTTTGAAATCAGAAAAACTGAGTAATTTTAACTCATTAGTTTGAGATATCTTTAAGTATCTTTTGGGCTTTTTAATTTTTTTAAATTTAACATTATTTGCGGTTTGCACCGGAAGTTCATATATAGTCAATCGGGGCCTCATGCCTGTAAGGTTTCCATATTTGGTCTCTGATTTCATCTATCTAATTCCATTCTCGAGAATAAGGAAAGACAGAGGGACGGACGACAGTGGAAATTTATAGGTCTACAGTTTTTTTCATATTGCAACCCGATAATGTATACTGTATATGATTAGTGGATCTAACAAAATGGAGAGTTAGAGGGAAACACATTCACGCGTTAAGAGACTTGAATATCCATTCAAAGATAATTTTGAGATTATGGCAATTTGCAGTCAATTTTTTTGTTTGTTTTTTAAGACTACTTTCAGCTACAGGAACATCTAGTTAATTCAGGCAGCAAAAATTCAGATGTAGGTCCTTTATATTATAATTTTTCATAGGGTGATTTGTCCTCTTTAGTTCGGGCTCTGCCATTCATTGTAACCGGGACAAATGTATTTTGGGCCCTGAAGAAAGGCCATTTTAGTGCCATCGGGCAAAAAGTTTAAAAAAAGGAACAAAATAGATAACAGGTATATCTTGCTTAATTAACACAGTTTTTCTTAACGCGGGATTTGATTAACGGGCAAAATTAATTGTGACAATCCCTTTACATATGTGGCAGAAGTTTTAATTTACGTGGCTCTACCAGCTGTCATACTTAATTAACATACTGTATTTTAATTAACCGCATTAATCAAGGGATAGCTGTACTTTTTGATCTAGTTCATTTGTACATCATTCATTATTTTTAATTAATAGAGTAAATATGAATAGATCATATCAAAATAAAATTAGTTTATCTTTTGGTTTAAATAAATTTATATTGCTTGCTGCATATAATTACTTTTAATGGCGTAGAAGATGATAGCTCTTCGGGTTCTCATCAGAATTACTCGTTAAGGTTATTTTTGTGTCGATAGAATTTTTTTCTCTTTTTGCCCTGTGGGCACTAAGAGGGCCTCTTATGTTGTTGTTGGTTAAGTTATGGCAACGCAACACTTGGACGATCTGCCTAGGAGGGATGCCTTCCGGGAGGTTTTTTTTAATACCCCGTTCGCACCGAGCATTTCGATCTAGATTGTGACTAAGGTCGGAGAGAGTTCCGTGGTGAGAACGCTCTCGACCGTTTCAATCTCGACTGAAACGAGGTTCTATCGCGATCGACTGGAGAGAGTTCTTGCAACTAGATCCAGTCATAAGAGAGATCCCACAATCCCACGCGCGCGAGAAAATACAAGATGGCTGCTGAACACGTGTCCGGCTATCGACAGAAAAATAAAAAAGACATCTGGAGAGACGATGACATCTGTCTATTATTAGATATACGGCAAGAAAAAGTATTTATTTCTAACCAAAACTTCCATTTTGTTTGTTGGTGTTCGTGACTTACCGCGTAGTTATGTCAATTTTATCATCGCGTGTAATAGCCGGGTTCTTCTCAAGCGAGTTACCTGTGCGAACAGCACGACGTTCCACTGGCGACAGTCACAATCCAGATTGTGGGTAAATCGAGATCGAAGTGAGTCGTGGATTGTGTGCGAACGGGGTATAAGGGAAACTGGTCCATATTTAAGCGTTACAGACGTGGAGAAAACCCAGAAAACTTCACGTGGCCAGCCAGTCCGAGCGAGGCGCGAACCCACGACCGAATTCCTAGTGTTCAGGATACGAAGGCCGCTTGGCCGCTATTGGGCACAAGACCCTCTTATAGCAAGCCAATTATGAGTTCGGCCAGGTCCACAATGGGCGGTCGGGTGGTGAAGGACGAGGCCTAATGTATCGATAGGATATTCAATGCACAATCTACCGATCTGGGAATTTACTTTTAAGTTCGATCGAAAATTTTTGGGAGTGATTTGATTCAGATTTGTCAGGCTCTGTCTCACACGACTCGACCAACCCCTATTTCGGTCCTGGCCGAAGCTTTAAGAGATATGAAGAAACTTTCGAACATAATGCTTGCAGAATGAAATTTTTATTTTAAAAAATTTATCGCGTACTAGCTTACCCGTCGCGCATTGCTGCGATCTCAGAAGAAACGAAATTCAAGCAAACTCGTTATGATAAAATTCAATTTACATTTTATCATTTTTATTGAAACTTATTATTATATTTTTCANAACATGTCCATTTTTATATATATATATAGATATAGATATAGATTAAATAAATTTAAAATATGATTAAAAATTGCAGCTCTGCATTGTGACATTGTTACAATAAATAACTGCTCATTTGTGTATGTGTTTGTGTGTATTGTATATCATATTTATGTAGTTTTTAAATTAATCTCTTGATTTCTACAAATAAACATTTATAAAACAAATTGATAAAATTAAGTTTAAATTTGATTTTGCATCAATAATAACATTATATTTTTATTTTTTGCAGTTTCTTTGGCTGTATCTGTACATCAATACTTCATGAATCGTCAAGCAAGTTATTCCATTTAAAAATCATCTGGTCAATTCAATTTAATTTATCATTCCAAGAATTTTATGAATATAATTTAGTCTATATTGTTAATTGTTCATTTATATTCAAATTCTGTGAATAAATGATACCAAATAAGAGATTAAACTGTTTAAAAGAGCCATAAACAGAAAAATCAAAAGATTTTTCAAAAATACAAGTTATATTTATTATTAATTAAAGATATGTTGTTTAGTTACTCATGTTATATGTTTTCATTGAATTTGTTATCATGACATAAATATAAACTGTATATTTCTAAATATTAGCTTTAGAATATAAATTTTAAGCATTCCTAACCTCTATAATAATTATATTATTATAATAAATTAGTATGAGATTTTTGTATGGAATTCATTGATTTAAATATCCAGATAATTTTGAAATAATGTAGGAAATTCATTTCCTATTTTAAACTCCTAGGAAAGAAAAACAATTACTAAATCATTCATAAGCAGACATTAATAGATGGATATTAAATTGTGTGTAATATATGTATAAATATTAGTGTGAAACATTTATATTGGGTTTCAGAAAGATGTTATATGAATAATAAACAGAGTTGAAATTTGTTTTATGTCTTTTTAATTTTTAAGTATTTAACATCTTAATTTATAATATTCAGTAATATTTAAATATTTTTGGATACTGAACTAGTTCTACTAGAATATGGTATACATTTTAAATAATCTTTAATATAATGAATTATATTAAATTACATTATATTAAAGATTATTTAAAATGTATACCATATTCTAAATACAGTATTAAGAATACTGATTAATTAATTTCAAGACTATTATATGGCCAAATTAAAGATTCTTTCAGATTGGTTAGTTTA